CTTTTAAAAATACTATAAAAGAACACTTCCTTCAAATTTCAAGTAATTAATCAAATTATATGTACAATGTCAATGTAACACTTTATGCTGTAAATAGCTTTCACATTTTCTCTCTTTCTTTTCTTTTAACTATAATACTTATTGTAATATATTTTAAATTTGGTTGACTGTATAGTCTGTAGTCAGAACTAGAATCTAAATTTTATATCTATAGGGGTCTTAAATAAAAGCCTGTTAAGGTTTCTGGTAGACCCCTACCATAACATTAATCTATTTTTTTTTTTAATGTAAATATTTATATGTTATAATATATGGGCAATAAAAGGAAAAAAAAAAAAAAATTTGCATGCGAGTTTATCGATAAAGCCATTTAATTAAAGGCAGTTTAGTTTTATAAAGAACACTTTAAAACGTTTTGCGAAGCGTTTGTGGTTGAATTTTACCTTAAATTGAAGCTTATATTACGTATAATATCTTACCTAACACATATATGTTGGGAAATTGATAATTTTGTAATTAAAAGTGATATTTTTAGGCGATTTTTCATTTGTAAGAATATTCTTAAAAAATTATCGTGTTACCATGACAACTACTTCAGATACTTCATGTTCGGAAAATACAATGGTTTTGTCAGCAAGGCGAGGGTTTCTGCATGCATGTATTTTCTAGTATTAATTTATTTGGATTACGCACGGAACAATTTACGTAATGCACCACATTTCGGCCGAAAGTGGTGCAAATTCCCGTGCGTAATACAAATTAATTTATACAAAATTTGCAAATTTCGTAGTCAGCTATATTTTCCTCATTTTACAAAATTTCGCAACCAAACTTTGCCATTTTACTAATTTTAACATGCTCTTTCTAGCTGTGGTGATGGATTTTGTTCTTCTTAGTTCTTGCCTAGATCAAAATTTAGTCTAAGCTGGGATTGCTCACTCCAGGCATGCCGCATTGGCCGTCAAGGCACTTCCTGGTATAATTCGTAGAATATAAAATTAAATACCCCTAGTTAATAAATTCAAAACTCGATGAGCTCTAGTCTTCTAAAGAGCAAATCTTAGCTACTTAAGTTTGAATTTATAATTAATCTGATTTATCTATTTTTCTCCTTGTTTCAAGGGTAATAATATCCATGCTTGTTCATTTCCAACCGAAAAAGAGACTAAACATTAAAAACCTATCTAACATAAATAAGCAAATTCGATAAACGTGTTAGAAAATTATTGATACACATACCTGTCACAACACACGATCTTGAATTGAAAAACAATATCAACATTGCAGTAAACAGTGAACAATGAACAATGCACCATAGAGAGAGTTTACTGAATGCTAAGGCGTAAACTTAATAAAATATTAACTGACAAGAATTAAATTGGCTCTACAATTAATTTGTTATATTCTACAAGTTATATTGTAGCTGGGCTGTCTCCCCCAACGACCCCAAGATCTTGCTACCGGCGTTTTAACACAAGACGGATCAAATTATAGCGACGGTACTCGTGAGTCGTTTAACACAATAATTATCTTGTCTCGCCTCTCGCTCTATATACAAGCTAGTTTTCGCGGGAATACATAATTAGTTTACATAATTTAGTAACAAAGTGCGTTTTGATTGATTGGTTATTTGCAGGTTAGTGCAGTTAGTTATATATATATATATATATATATATATATATATATATATATATATATATATATATATATATATATATATATATATATATATATATATATATATATATATTGGTTGGGGGAGAGAGAGAAAGTCAGTCTAAACTGAGAAGTTATTTGAATGTATTTTCTTAAAATTTCAATCTATTTTGTTAACAGTTTTGTCCTAATCAACAATCAACCCTCTCTCTCATCCTCGAGCCACGCGCGAAGTTCGTATGGCAAAAGCCCATGGCAAGGGTACTAAATCCGCACGGCTATTATGTGAGAACAAAGCGAAGTGCAGCAAAGTCGTTTTTCATTATGTCATGGACGTTGGACGGTCATCTACGTTATGAGCATGCGCGAGACAAGCCGAGGGTGGACTTGTAAATATCAAGCACATGATTGGCTAAGAAAATTGACAAGAAGAAGATCATGGGGACGAGGTTGATGTACCTTGTTATGCATGGGACTCAAATTTCAAGTATACGTAAGTATTAATTAATATATTTACTTTGAATTATTTTACAATAGTTTATTACGTTTTTATCATACTTCCAAGGTGGGCCCTGTGGTTAATTAAAGTATTATTTTAATTTTTTGTTTTCTTGCGAAAATATGATTTCATGTTACCATAGCAACCACGATGTTTACAATCATTAAAAACTTCGTTTTCAAGTTACAGATGTTCCGTCAAAAGATGGGTTGCTGTATTCATATATTTCTATATTGGTATGAATCTACACGCTAGTGCGCCCTTGAGTTATATACCATTATAAAATATTGTGAAGGCAACTACAATATAAAGATTAAAGTTTACCTCATCAAGAGATGTCGCGACTATGCCTATAATATACATGTATATAGTGTATACATTTTGTCGTCATATAGTTGTATGTTATTGTGTTATATGCACTTAACTTAATTAACTTAATTTTTTATCTTCTTTATTCTTTGATCATGCAGATTCAAATAAATCTTATTTTGAATGTTTATCAATGCAAACAAATAAATATATTATATTGATATATAATATATTAATTCAAATATTATATAATTGTGATGTCAATTATTAAAATAATAAAATATATTTCATTTATAGTTACCTTATTCTTTGACGCTGCTCAGTTGAAACTCGAGTGTTAGCCTGCTTGGATTCGTTCACTGCGCACAGTTAATGTTCAGTCTTGTTGTGCCGGTTCTCACAAAATTATGAGAAGTCGTATTCATATTACAGCATAATTGCATAAATAAGAAACAATCGCAATTCCAAGCGGAAGAAACCACGCATTTTACAGTATTGTTTAGTTTACTTGGAGTGCGGTTTCCTGGCAGTATTCCTTATAGAAAGCCGGACGCGGGATTTCTGCACTTTAAAAGTCTTTATGAATTGTTTTAGATTTGAATATATTACAGCATGAATAAGAAACAATCATATCGCAATTCCACGCGGAAGAAACCACGCATTTCACAGTATTGTTTATAGTTTTCTTGAAGTGTGCTTTCCTGGCAGTATATCCTTATGGCTTATAGAAGCTGCATGGACGCGGGGTTTCTGTTTATCGGAATTGTTTAATTCGATTCCGCATTGAATATTTCACGGAAAAGATTATATATACCCATGCCCCATGGCTATGCTGTTATAAGTATAGTATTATAAAGTCAACTTCGATTCTACATTTTTGACATCTACGTTTTTGAATAAATAAACCGAATGATGTCAAAATACAGAAAAGTATGGAGTTTTTAGAATACTTGTAGTAAAATCCGCTTCCGTTTCGATCTCCACAATTTTCGGTTGCCTTAATTGGCGTATACGTTGGATGTGTACCTGATGTCAAGATCTAAGTCAAGGAGAATATAAGGGGATGAGGAAAGTTCTGAAGACTGTATGTCTGGAAACTTAGTTCCGCAATCAACGCTTCGGCAAAATAAAATGGGATTTTCCATATTTTCCCCCCGCACATTTCATAAAATTTAACGATTTTTGCGAAATTTCGGGCTTTAATTGTCAACGCAAAACTAAACTATTGGGTTACATCAGGAGATCCACAATCTATATAGATCCACAACCAGGAAGTGAGACGCACATTATACCTTGCACTAGTTCGGCCACACCTGGGGTATGCTACCCAAATATGGGCACCACAATCCACCGAACTAATACGCCACCTTGAACGAACACAAAGAAGAGCAACCAAATACATCCTTAGTCTTCCATTCTCCTCCTCTACTGACTACACCACCAGACTTCAAACTTTAGGACTCTTACCGATCTGCTATTGGCATGAATATCTAGACATGGTACATGATTAACAGTGAATACTAAGTCTGTAAAAATGCTTAAAAAATGTAGTCAGGGTTCCATTAAAAAATATAGGAATACTGTGGAGAATCTGGAGGGGAGGGGGGGGGTGTGTGGTCAAATGATTTTACTGAATTATATATTCGAATTTTACTGTTAAAAAATCACTTGAACTGTAGAAGTCGTAAGTTGCAATGACCTTTAAATGCCTGAAGGTCCTCTCCCAAAAATATTAATTTTTGAAGCTCGATTACTGCTTTTCTTGCATTTCCTGTAGCGATCGAGAAAAAAAACTACCAATTTTAAGGGCATATATTCGGAAACTTTGCATTAAAGTCGTAATTGCAAACTTATATTTTAGAACGGTCATGTAGTGAAGTAGTATAGGAACTGCCGGTTCTAGACCACTAGTTTTTCGTTCGCGTTTTCGTGAACTTTCTAGACCACCAGTTTTTAACTGAATTAATTTTAGATTTATATACTTAATTTATTTCTCAAGCAGTATCACTCTTTTTAGTACCCAACAATTACCATACCGCGTTCACCCTTCGTACTCCTCACAGCCTGCACACCTAGTGACTGTGCCTTAAGACCCATCAGCACTCTCAAGTCGCTTTTGTGTTCCTTAGGTAGAATATCAAGATTGTTTTCTATGTAGTTCATATTTGACACGATTTTTCTCAGCGGTTGTAGCTTCTTGAACTTTCACCTCTTAGCAGGAATCACCACCTTAGGAGTAGGTCTGGGAATATATTTTTCAGCCCTTACTGGCATACAGTCCAGTTCTATTTTCTCTTCGGCAACAACCTGGACCCCAGTTTTTCCCGCTGCGTGGTGTCCGTAAGCGTAACTTGTAACTCCATCCTCAAGTAGGTATCTTTTATCGTCGAAACAACTAAGAGTGATTTTCTTTAATTCGTAGGTTCCAATTTTATGTTTCACACTTCTGATTGTGTTCATATTGTGTCTCATCCTACCTTTCGTGTTTATTACATTCTTGAAGTTCTCGTGAGTGAGCTTGTTTCTGATGACGTACTTTTTAACTCCTTTGGCAGTCATTCCACCTCCACCGTTTTCCTTTACATAGGAGTACATCTTTGACCTCAACCCAACAAACTCAATTACGGGTACTCCCTCAGCCTCATCCTTAAACTTACCTATGACCTTCTTATTATGAGCTGAGTAGTACGGAGAATCTTTTGGGTAATCTGAATTATCCCAGCAGTTTTTCTCTTCACCTATTGTCTTGAAGTCCTCGTAAACATCATCCGTCTTCAGTTCATACATTAGACTGTCAGTATCAGTGAACAGTAGCCTTGACCTGTCACCGTACTCCTTCTTGATGGTGTTGTAGTGGAAATCATACATTAAAGTCTTGGATAAGTCTAGGATGCTCATTCCTGCATAACACGGCTTATTTAGCGTTAGAACTTCTTTCATTCGCTTTACCACTATAAGGTTCTCATTCATAATTCTATGTGACTGGAAGCAGGGTGATGCTGTCAGTTTTAGGAGGTCGTCTTTTGAGGACACTAATTTTACATTAACTCTTTTTCTTAGATTTTCCATTGTTTTTCCATAAATCGAATTATTCATTAACTTGAAGAAGTTCTTTTCGAACGTGTTACGAGCTACTGACCTTTTCTTCGTATTGAAGTTAATATAGTTCTTAAGCCAGGGAGACTGTTTAAATGTAACCGCTCTATGAACCCTTGTGAGTTTCATTCCAAGGTCTGTGTAGAGTTTTAGATTACGTA